ACCTGACACATCAGATCAAGACTCGACTCACACAATCATCATCACACACGTCACACAGCAAGGAGGGACATCATACACGGAAGAAGAAAAGAGGGAGGAGGAGGAGAAGAAGAAGAATAGTGGTTATGGAGGCATTGGTCACGACTCTCTCTGGCCAGCGGAAAGAAGGAAAAGAAGATGAAGAACTCTCCTCTCTCACACACTCCTGATGATGATGCCACAAATGCTGACCAGCGAAGGTGATGACTCGCGATGCAGGTCGCTGCTGAACGCTGGTCCATGACCGGTATGATGTCCCAGCTATGGGGCCCAAGTAAGTCTCTCTCTCCCTCGCGGGCAGGGCCTCCGCCAACCTCTCCACTCCAGCCTACTCCTCTACTCCTCTAACGCTGCTCTACCGCAGCTCTCCCCAAACTGGCGCTGCTCAAGCAGCCTGACGCCCAACTGAGGCTCCAGCCCGAAAGTCCTCCAAGTGGAGGACTGGCCCAGCTATATACCGCTCGGCCTGGCTGCTCAGTAATGTCTTTCGCAATTCACAATCAGAATCATCCCTCGACAGGAATGATCAGCAAGAGACAGGTGGACGTGACTGTTGCCTTAACTGTGAGCATTCACGAATGGTCAAGTCCGAGCTCTGTATACAAAAGATCATGGAAGAGCAGGAGGTGAGGAGGAGAGGACCGAGAGGAGTCGACAATTTCAGATTGATTTGTTATATTTCTCGTAGGACTACCTACACCAACAGGACGTTAGCTCCCACAGGACAACAAGCACACACCTTTCTTTCGAGTCCCATTGTCCGTTGTCTCTCGATCGTGTTGTCCGTTCAGCGGTGAGAAGGACAAAAGAGAGAGGAGGGAGTCGATGATCAGAGATTGATTTGTTGCATTTTTAACACTGAGAATTCACGAATGGTCAAGTCCGAGCTCTGTATATACAGAAGATCATGGAAGAGCAGGGGTTGAGGAGGAGAGGAGCGAGAGGGAGAGGAGGGAGTCGGCAATTACAGATTGATTTGTTGTATAGGACTACCTACACCAACAGGACGTTAGCTCCCAGAGGACAACAAGCACACACCTTTCCTTCGAGTTCCATTATCCGTTGTCTCTCAATCACTCGTGCTGTCCGTTCAGCGTTCAGCGCAGATCTTAATCTGGTGATCATACGGGGCCCTGCCTCTGTCGATTGCTGGGACCTGTGGAGAGCAAGCGCACCATCAGCATCAGAGGAGATTGCTTTGCTTAGACAACAACTTAGATGGGATTACAAAACTGATAAAACTATTAAATAAATTAGTATTGAAAATTTTCAAATATCTAATTACTAAATAGGTAAATCAGTTTACATTACTATTACGATTTGAAGGGGAAATCTTCCACAGGACCTTCAACAACCAGTACCGCTGAAACGGAACACGGGCCCACGTTCCTGCGGTCACGTGCCCGCGGCCCCCGTTACAGGAAAATCTGTTTCGGCCCCTGACCACAACTTTCGGAGGCCCGAAACAGAACACAGCCCACCGATGAAATGTATCAACGGCTGCCCGAACCCCACTTGCCTTCCGTGTAGTCCACTGCCACATTGTTTTTCGAGTGGGGAAAGGTACTGGTGGTTTAAGCCAACAGAACTAAAGAGTATCGTTATGGGCACTCCTGGAATACTGAACCGTGCTGGGGATCAAGAATATGTGGCACATTAGGTCCCATCAGGTTTCGAACTAAATACCTGTTTATCAGCAATTACATGTGTGACATTGTGTGTACCATTCAGCGACAACTCTTATACTACGATTTCTAGAAATTATTATTACACCTTCCCTTACTCTTCTTAAAGAAATAGCGGGTCTTGTGTGACGCTGCCCCACAAGACCCGTTTTTGAGTTGGGCCCACAGCCAGGCCCAGGACAGGGCAATCCACGTCAGAACCCATGTTCGGTTTGTTTGTTTTTTTCTCGGCCGTGCGTTGTTTTTCGGGGTTGGCGCCTGTTCGAATACGAGTACATTCCGGCCATCTGAAGTTCCCCGTTTGTTTTCCTTTCTTTTCCCTCCGCGAGTTTTTGTGCTTTTACTCTATTTATGTGTGTCATCCCTGACGTGTGTGTGTCGGAGGCCAGGGCTTTAGTCATGAGGCTACAGTGAATCCTCTGCTAGAACATGGAAAGATACATTGCCCTATTTTGTGTCTTTGGTAGAGCGTGTCTCCGTTCGTGCTTTCGTTATTTTCTTTTTCCTTTATTCTTACATAGATTCATTATTCTTTTCGAGTATTGTCTTTTCTTTCGTTATTCATTTTGAGTAGATTCTGTCTTTTCTTTTTATCTTATTCCAAGAGGGGTGATGCAATTGTGCAGCCAGCAGGCCTCACTACATGCACAAAGGAGAAAAAGTATGACTGAATCCTCCTGTAGTACATGGAAAGATTCATTGCCGTATTTTTTTGTCTTTTGTGCCGACTGAGGCCCTCCCTCCGCTAGGAATGAATCCTCTAAAAGAACATGGAAAGATACACTACCATATTTTTTTTGCCGTTTGAGCATGTGGGAGCGGTGGAGCAAGCCTCAGAATCCTCCGCTACAGACCTGAGTTCAAGGCCCGCATGAAGCACATGAAGCAGATGAGTAACATACTGCAATCATGAATTACTTGGGACGGGTCAGTTCACATGATGATTTCTCAAGGGCCCTCAAAAAGAAATCCCATCCTCCGAGACATCCCTTAAAATTGGAACGATGACACAAGAAAAGAAAATTGCCATGTATCTTGGGCTTCCCTCCCCACTTTTGGGGCAAGAAGTATGGCGGTGTACCTTTGCGTGCTCTGCCGGAAGATTCATTCTCATTGCCCCACTGTGGACGGGGCGGGATTCCGGTGGTTATTATTTATTAAAAAAAGAGGTCCCTAGACATGGTGGACATGAAAGAGCACGGTGTCAAATTCTGCCTCAGTGTTTAGGAAAAATATGTGGCCCCAGCTCCTATGCGCTTAGCCAAATAGGGCCTCGCTCCACTACTCTCCAAAAGTGCAAAATGTGACCGAGTCTTCCACTAGAACACGGAAAGATACATTGCTATATTTTGTCTTTTGTGCATGTGGAGAGTAGTGGAGCGAGGCCCATAAATGCCTCGGTGTATCTAGGAAAATCAATGTGTGTGTCCAGGACAAGTTAATGCCTTGAAAAGATAAAAATAAGAAAATAATAGTAAAAAAGAAAAATTAATGCCTGCGTACTTAGGACACATCAATGTGTCTGTGTGTTTAGGACAAATCCCACCCTCCTGATGCTTCATTTTGAAATCTAAAACCGCAACCTCCTCCCCCGCCCCAACACCACCACCAAAAGGAAAAAGGGGGACAAAAATCAATTTGCCTGCGTTTAGGAACAAATCAATCTGTTTGCGTGTTTCAGACAAATCAATTCCGGACCACAAATGCGTTACGAGTCCAAAAAAAAAAAAAGCAATTACAAGTCTACAGCTACCCTCTTCACGTGAATAGAACGCCCAGTCATTATAGCCGTACTTGGTGCAACTTTCAGTCTGGATGCAGTGATAATGATCAGGCGCTCTATTTGTGTGAAGACATTAGCGGTGCGCTGAGTCACCTCTTCCAACGGACTCTGCAAAAACTGCATCCAAATGGGAGACGGTGATCATCGTCACCATCATTCTTCCGATCATGGTGCAGAATCACACGGCAAAGAGATACGCGGATGAGGACAAGGAAGAGAAGGGGAGGGGACGGAAGAGGGGAGACTAACAGTGGGGCGTGAGAAAGATGGCGTGCAGGGGAGGGGAGGAAGGGGGAAGAAAACAAAGTCAGGAGGGAAGGAGGAATTGGGGTGAGGCAGAGGAAAGAGGCAGGCGAAGGAAAGCAGGAAGACGAGAGGGAGGAGGGACAGGGGGGGAGGAATGTAGTTCAGAATCAGAGGGCCGTAAGCAGGCAGAACGAGGGGGGAAAAGGAGGTGAAGAGAAGGACATGGAGGGAGAGACATGGGACGGGATGGAGGAAGTGGGATTAACGAAAGGTGGACAGAGTAAAGGTGGAGGATCGCAGTGGGGAGAAAGAGTGGTGGGGGAGAAGAAGGCCAGCATAAAAGACCGAGGAATGGGAGAAGGAGGAAAGAGTCACAGGCAGGAGGAGAAGCAGAAAGGGGAAAGGGGAGGAACAGCGAGCAGAGGGGAGGAAGAGCGGGATAGGAGGAGGAAGATCGAGCAGACCGGAGAAAGAGCGGGGGAAAGGAGGGAGGGCCGGTGGAGCAAGAGGAAGAGTGGGACGGAATGAGGAAGAGTGAGGAAGGGCGGGGCAAGAGCAGGAAGAAAGAGCGGGGAGAGGCAGAGGTGCAGAAGGAAGAGTGGAGAGAGGAAGCGTGGCTGGCAGGAAGGACTGGCAGCAGGGGAGTGGGCTGGAGGAAGAGCGAGAGGCGGAGAGAGGAGGGAGGAAAAACGATCCAGGCGGGAGATTGGGAGGACAAACGGTGGAGGATGACAGGTAGAACGGAGCAAAAAGGAAGCAAGAGAAGGGTGAAGAAGGAGAGAAAAGAGGGGGATGAAAAAGCGAAGGAATGGGGAGTAAGGAGGGAACGGAGGAGAAAAAGGAATGGCGAGGAACAGAGAAAACGACGGATGCGCAGGAAGAGGGAGAGGGAAGGACGAGGGAGGGAAGGGGGAGGAGAAAGGAAGAGGCGGGAGGAGTCGTAATAGAAGTTACCCCAACGAGGGAGCATTCGCCATGAGCTCATTGACCCACTTTGCGCGCCTTTCCTCACAGCTGATGCAAGTATTAGTACAGGCAGTAGGACTTTCTTCACTTTGCGCGACCCTTTCCACTCTCAGCAACTCCTCCCGTTCCCCCTCCTTCCCACATTCCCCCTCCATCCTCTCAGCACTCATTTCACAGCTGAACACAAGCAGACTTTGAAAACTGGGTACAACAGATGGGGCTCGTCACCTACCTACCTGACGGATCCTGGGTCTTCCTGGCCACCCTGGTGGCGACCGTCTGTGGGGATCACTCTGGCTATGGCGGCAACTTCTTGGTGCAGCAAAGGAGCCTGCATACGAGGAGGACTGTGCAGGGGACTGCTCAACGTATCTCCACGAGATCCAGCTTGGCCACCTGTCATCCTGCCAGCACGCGGGCTGCAGAGTACATCACCGCTCCCAAAACCACCTCCCTGTTGACTGCCAGATGTCGTCTCCCCATTACTTCGTGGGGACAATGGCGGCGGTGGCGACGACGGTGGGGGGCGGGGGGGCGGAGTTGGTGACAGTTGTGGAGGGATAGTCTCATTGTATCGAGAAGTCCCGCAGAAGATGGTGGGGTCCACCACCCCCACCCCCACAAAATCGTCAGGCCCTCGTGCACCCAACCCAGGAATAATTAAGGGGCTTTCGGCAGCACCCCCGCTCCGTAGGAGAGGGCTTCGCCTCCCACTGGAGCCCTGATAACCCCCTGCTTGGTGGGCAGCCAGATCCCAACCATCTCCAGGTCGGAGATGGACAAATTGCAGACCAGCCCCTCCACTGTTGCTTCTTTGCAGTAGATCTCCAGCAGCGCCCACCCCCATAGAGGGGCTGCTGCTGCTTTGGGAACGGGCGGGTGGTCCACCACCACCACCACCAAGGGTATTATTATGATTGTTGTCATTATTAGTTGTTGTATTATAATTAAATCTGCTGCTGCTCTGATAGGTCGGCGGCGGTCCATTCATAGAAGCGCTTTTCGGTGGGAGAAAACGAGGTGGAATGTCCAGCCTTTCTGGATGCTTGGCCATCGGGCGGGAACCTCCAAATGCCCGGAACGGATTCCCGCCATCGAAATTCCCACCGTTTGCAGAGCAAGAGTGCTGCGACAATGGTGGAGCCAAAGACGATGAAGACGAACAATGAGAACGGGCTCCCAGGTCACTCCATCCCCCCCCAGCAACCGCAACCCTACCGGACCGCCATACCTCGTGTGCTGGTGAAGCTGGAGCACTTGCCACTTGTTTCAACGGGATCCTTGAGATGGTGGTGGAGAACTGCGCACACACATCCACATCATCATAGCACATATTACACCTCGATAATTGATTTAATCATTCTGTCAAATCACAGATGGCAGGAGATCAACAGAAAAAAAAAAAAAAAAAGTTTTGCCTGCTCGATGAGGTCGCCCTGTAATTTTGGAAATCGTTGGCATTAAACCACCACTACCTCCGATCCTGTTTTTGCCGAACCTGAATTTCATTGCGCAGCGAGTTTTGCTGCGCCTGGGTCCCATTCTCATTTCCAGACTGGTACCCACCGCCGTTACATCCCAAATAGAACAAAAAAAAGAAAATAAGAAGAGAAAAAGAAAAAAAAGAAACTTCCCCACACACCGTGATAGCCATCACATACATTCTATAACGTGCTGGCAAGACTGTGATCTCAGTGAGGGCATCTGTCCCTATGAAAAAAATGAATGAAGAACAAAAAAAAAAATACTTCCCTTATGCTGCTCTCGAGGTCCAATACAGGATGCTACAGTGCAGGTGTGAGTATGACATGATTGAGGCAGTTCGCTGCCCCCAGTGGAATCCGCCCTGCCTCGCAGGCAGAGCACCGACGAGAAAAGAAAAGGTAGGAAAACAAAAACCATGACATCAGCAATCACGTTCCCCAAATGCTGGCCATTTACATTCCTCAGAGCACTGGTGTGACTCCCACCTCGTGAGGGCCAGCAAAACAGCCACGAAACAAAGAAAGGTCTGTCGCAGCAAAAAAATACACTCCACACACGCCGCTGGCACTGGAGGCACAGCATGGCCGCATAGTGACGGCCCTGACCACAGATGCTCAATATATATATGTCCTCTTCTCGCTCTCTGCCTACGGTTTACCGGGCAGCTCTATTTGACTATATATCGTCACAAACAGAACTGCCCGGTAAACCGTAGGCAGAGAGAGAGAAGAGGACAACAAACGAGGGGCTGTGACAAACTGTTTCGTTTGACTATATATATACATATATATATCGTCACAAACAGTATATATATATATTATATTGTCACACTGTGAATCGGAGCGCAAAGGCGGAAAAATATATATATTTGTCACAGCCACTGGTTTGTTGTCCTCTTCTCCCTCTCTGCCTACGGTTTACCGGGCAGCTCTGTTTGACGATATATACCACAACTTCGCTAGCACCCTGCTACGGTTTTCTCCGGTCGGGTTGAGCAGCAGTGGTCGGGGCCATCACTACGCGGCCATGCCGTGCCTCTAGTGTATTTTTCGGCTGTGACAGACCTTTTTTTGTTTCGTGGATGTTTTGCTGGCTTGTGATGGGGTGTGAACCGACAGTCTGTAGAGTTTTCCATCTGGTGTGGGTGAGTGATAGTCTGCTTTGATTTTCGTCACAGGTACCTTGAGGGCAAGGTATCCGTTGTCAGGCAGTCGTTGATGCTTAACCACTACCGGGGTTAAGGTGGATTATCACTTACTGTGTGATCAGTTAGGGGATTCTGCAGACTGTCGAAGGTTCAGCCTCCTGACGAGTCGGTGAAACTCCGACGCCCTCTTCTCCCTCTCTGCCTACGGTTTACCGGCAGCTCTGTTTGACGATATATATGATATATCTATATTTATTTATAGATGATTATTATCAGTAACACTATTCAAAGTTTATTTAATACACGAGTTTGAATTATATATACATAGAAACTTATTAGAAAGAATCACAGATTTTACATACATTCAAGCAACTTTATTGGAAAAAAAATCAAAAAATAACATACATTTCTATGCTGTAATTAGTAAGTAAAATCTCGGAAAAAAAACACGTTTGTTTTCACAAAAATAATAAAAGATTGATATCATATTATGTAGACCCATACCGCATAACAGGATATAATATTATAAATCAATGTGCGAGGCCACTGCCTCTATGAGCCCCATTCAGCCCCCATTTTGGAGCCCGTCGGCCGCCCTAAGTGAAGGCAGGCTCGACAGGCCCTCAGGGCCCTACTTTGGCCACTGCGCAACTAAGGAAATTCAGTCAGTTGCGCAGCGTAAGTTGGTTGAAAGAATCCAGGCCCTGGGCCGCCTTTGTGAATGTATGGAAAGCAGGCCCTGGGCTGGATACGGGTACTGGGTGGGCCAAAGACATGACAAAGGCAGTTGGGCGCATGCAACCACCTCAGGCCCCAGGCCTGTCCTCGATCGTGCTGGGCCTTGGGCTACCGGGGCCTACTGGAAGCTTCCTGGGACTGGACGCAGGCAGGCCACTTCGATATAGCAAAGGGCCTGCCTCCTCATTGGATATAGCAAAGGGCCTGCCTCCTCATTGGATATTCGGGTGCTGGCTGCATGCTGCGGAAGCGCTGCTGCGCTATTTGCTGGCTGGCGCCTACGCGCTCACGGGCGAGCAGGGAAAGAGCAGGCAGCCGTAGCCGAGCTGCGCTGCTGTGAGCTGGGTGTGGCGCAGGGTGGTCCTTGGGTGCAAGTGGCATCTGTGTGTTGGGGAACGAGGTTGTGAGTAAGG